TATAATTATTATTAAAAAAAAAAACTGAAGGATTAAAATAAATAAAAAAATATTAGAAAGAAAATTATAATAAAATTAATATTAAAAATAAAATTATAATAAATATCAACATTTAAAAATTATTTTGATAATTTACTTTTTTTTTAAAAAAAAAAAAAAAACATAACCAAAGAGCCCAATAATAATCATATTATATCATCAGCCTCCAAGCCCATTTCACATTTGTCTTAAACCCTGCTGCAAAATCTTCTCCATTGTTACTCCTTTCCCTCACGCATTTCATTTCCCCTGCACCAAAACTCAACACCATCAAAGCCACCTTTCCTGTATAGGAAACAATGAGTCTAAAGATCTTTGCACGAACTTTAATCCAAAATTCGGTTATAAGTAGATCTTACTATACGAACAGAGTCAACAAAACCACTTTGTACTCCAAAATCAGTCCGCTGGGGAACCCTAAGACGAGTGTTGTTCCAGAGCTTGAAAGTTGGGTGAAAAATGGAAACAAGGTTCGGTTCGCGGAGCTTCAACGTATCATTCACGATCTTCGCAAGCGAAAGAGATTCACTCAGGCTCTTGAGGTTTTTATTCTTCTTTTTTTTTGAAAAAAAAAAAAACAAATTGAACTTTTTTAGTTACTAATGTTTTGGATACTGTTTGGTTTGCTGAGAAAATGTGGAGCATAAATGAAAGTGAAGGTCTTTGATGTTCTATCAGTTAATGGTAGGTTGTGACGTGTGTGTTTTGAAGTTATTGGCTTCAGTTTTCTTTGTTGTTGCGTCTGTTTTAAATGAATGTATTAATGAGCTTGAACTTTGCCAATTTCTATGTTGCTTGGAGTGAGAAGTTGTGATGATCTTAGCATTTCTATTGGTTTCGTGCTAGATTCAGAGTCTAATGCTGAAGAGAAACTAGATGTAGCAAACTGGGCTAAAAGACCATGTCATATGGGTTCTGCGATCTTACGTAGCAAATTGAGTGTAAAGGCCATAACACATGGATTCTTAAGATTAAATATAGTCATCTATTTTCTTGGCTTGTAATGACAAGAAATAGTAGAGAATACAAACCATCATGGATATGTTTGAAATGAAAAACTAAGCAGGTTTTCTTTTTGGTGCTTTTATTTATTTTTTCTTCTATATTCTACCTTATATGGTCACGAAATGTCATAGTTATGGCTTCAGGTTGGAATCTTGTCCTTGATTCCTTTCCTTTTGATGTTTAACTGGTGCAGGTTTCTGAGTGGATGAACAAAAAGGGAATTTATGTTTTTACTCCGAGTGAACATGCTGTGCAACTGGATCTGATTGGCCATGTTCGTGGATTTCTCTCTGCCGAGAGCTATTTTAATAACCTAAAGGACCAGGATAAAACAGACAAGACATATGGTGCTCTTCTGAATTGCTATGTACGGCAGCGACAAACTGATAAATCTATTACCCACATGCATAAAATTA